TATTCTCTACTGCATCCATCTCAGAGGGAACCCAATTGGACACTAAGGAAATTTGGCTGTGGAAGATCTAACCAAGTTGCAGACAAATCCAATGGATCCAGGTAACTTTTAATTTACTTGTTTTGGTGATTTAACATGATAGATCTTGGGAAACTAAGGAATTACAGATTTTGGTCTAACACTTTAGATTAGCTTCCCAGCATATAGACAATGTTCACGAAAATATATTTCGAATTAAAAGCACCATAAGTGTACGGTTCGTTAACAAATAATAAAGTGGAATTGAATCCAAGTATCGTCCCACTGAGATTGATTTAGTTCAATTTTAATTAGTACGACCTTAACCGAAACCAGATTAATGTGAGGTGATTGGTTATAACAAAATTATAACTAAAATAATCTACTTATACAATGATGTGTAATTTAACTAACTTCAATGCAAATTATTCTAAATGCAGATTAATGTGTTTAATAAATAACAAATGTACTAGGATCCCGAATTCTCATGTAATAATCAGTTTTAACTCTAATTTTACACGTTGACAACACGATTGAATTTTAACGAATCAATGTTCTTATTTTATTTAACAATCTCTCTCAAGTAATGTTAAACCTACTTTTTATAAATGAACCAACTATATTTCTATGATGAATACGAATATAAAAAAATGCATGAATTTTTATGAACACTTAAAGATTCACATAGAGTATAACGGTATATTTCTATCCCCTATCGAATCCTATGACAATTTATATACATTGAACATATTTTCCTTCTTTCAAATGCATAAAACAGGCCACCAAATTCACACAACTACCGTGCACAATAATTGTGGAGAAAAGAAAATCATATAAATCATCCAATACTCAAAAACATGTTTTTGATGTCAAACATTTAAAATTAAAGATTAAAAACTCATATTACATGATTTATCGTTCTCCTAGCACAAAGAAATCTAGCCTAGAATATTATGAAGAAAACAAAAGAAATATTAGAGAATCGACATCACTCAAATACTACTGGAATTGAATTCTCGAATCTTGAAATCAATCTTCGTGTTTCTGACCTCCTTCTCTTATCCCAAAAGCTCTTAAAATATGTTGTAATGCATTATGGACGACTCTATGGTTTTAAAAGACGTTTCAAGATTTGTTTCCATAAGAGTTTTATTGAAATAAGAAAACCAGATTTTTCCTCTGAAACTGCATTATGCGACCGCATAGTTCAACAAAATTCATCATCAAATTCTCTGAAGCCTACCATGCGACCGCATGATATTTGCACTATGCGACCGTATAGTGTTGCTTAAATTCCGAATGTTGTGTTTTAGTCCCAAAACTCCATTTTCTCGTTTCTTGACCTCTTTTCTTACTTCTTCTTCTCCCAACACTTCATTGCCTTGCTCAATTGGTTTTTGACTATTTCTCATCCTTGTTTCTTTTTTCGGGTCATCTTTCAGCTATTTGCAATTTGATCCCTAAATTTTGAATTTCTTCCATTTTAGTCCTTTTTTGCTCATTCCACCATATCCATCAATGTTATCCTACAACCCACAATTTGTATAAAATTAAACCATATTTCGATATAGTTACCAACAATTGTCCATGTTTTGTTGTCTAAATAAGTGTGTAAAACGCACCTATCAAATTGCCCAAATTAAATTCTAAAACAAACATAAATTTGCACACAATCAACCACATTATCCAACTTCAAAAAACTACCATCCATCAATCTCATCCAATTAGGATTCAAACATTTACATCATCAAACATAGAGGAAACTACCAGAAGAATCATCAGCCAACAGAAATCAAGAAACCGAAACATTTTCAAGACAACATATACCTATGGTCCAACTTACAAACATTGCTATCATGAGTTGCAAATTCCATTATATTTCCCAAAACAACAAAGTTTCAAGATTTAAATGTCTTCTTAATGCAGTTCTTCATTAATTTGAACTAAAGGAATTTAGATTAGCAATCATTCCTTCATATTTATATTAAAAAAGAAAAAATAACAACTCCTCCCTAAAACTAGAAGAAAATGTCAAAAAAGAACAATCTATAGAAAAAAAGACCTAATTAATCTAGCTTTCCAAGACTTAACTTTTTAATGCTAAAAACTACAAAGCTGATTCAATGTCCCTTATCTTCCACACGTTCACATCACCTAATCCTCATCAGCTGAGGGCTTTGATGAACCACCAGTCTTCTTCGGAAGCAGAAGGTTGTGAATGTTTGGCATCACTCTTCCATTAGCAATGGTCACATCTCCGAGAAGCTTGCTTAGTTCTTCATCGTTCCTTACAGCCAACTGAATGTGTCTTGGAACAATTCTAGTTTTCTTGTTGTCCCTTGCTGCATTCCCAGCCAGTTCCAGCACCTGAACAGAAAAATATCATCACAATAATTATAAATAAAACTTTCCAAGACCTAAAAATGGGGCTTTCAATTAATATATATAAACCATAAAAGCAACGAAAACATCCACCACGACATAAAAGTATATATTACAAAAACCTAAAATCGGGTTTCAATCAGAGACGAAATTTAAACCTAAAACGGGGTGGTCGTAAATTCCAAAACCCCAAACCTGAAAACTCTTGGACTTGGGAATTTTCATAATGAAGTTGACAAAATCTTTTAAATACCTCAGGAGCAAGGTACTAGATGACGGCAGCGAGGTAGACAGGAGCACCGGCACCAACACGCTCTGCGTACTTCCCGGCCTTGAGGAAACGGGCTATACGACCCACAGGAAATTGGAGCCCCGCCTTGCTGCTCCTCGACGTCGCCTTCTTTGCTGCTCCGGATCCAAGAGTCTTGCCCCGACCCGCCATTTCGATTTTATAGCAGATAGAATTCACAGCAAACGAATTCTAGGGGGGCATTATTACAATTGACCTGGTTGTAGCGGTGGCAAAAAAGCTCCCGGCTCGGGCTCGGTCGCACCGAGTCGAGGCTCGGGCCGAGCCCTATTTGGGGGACCGAGCCGAGCCCAGGCCGGCCCGTGTGGCTTGCCGAGCCACACGGGCCGGGTCACTTTTGGCCCGTGTCCACTAAGTAAAAAAAAATTAAATTTTTTTTAAAAAGCCTAACTGCCTGCACAGCAGGCAGCTACGTGTAGCTGCCTCACAGGCAGTCCAAATTTTCGAGGTAGATGGCGTGCACGTTTTCGATTGCGTGCACGGCACAACAAAATTTAAAT